TTCAAACACTGTAAGAAAGGAGAAAAGGCTCATTTCAATGGGGGAGGTGACTTATGGACTATCATTACATGTAAGACTTGTGGAAATAGATTTGTACTTACTGTGCAGCATCAAAATTATGGCCCACAGGATGAGGGGCCACCAACTATCCAGGAACACAGGAACGAACAAGTGCATTGCGATTAGGACGATGGCAAGAAGCATAAAAGCCACTGCCACTAGTAGTACTCTGTCAATAGAAAAATGTATTAATGCCATGTAGAAACCGATTCTGTGCAGTGTTTTTATTGAAATCATTGTCAGATAGCACTGAAGGGTGGAGTTATTGAGTTGTTAATTGAACCAAATCCAATCCTTCTCCTTACTACGATATCGGCTGGCAGTAAATATTTTTGTCATATGACACAAGAGAATGAAAACAAATTTTGATAGTTTTGAACAATTATCTTAATGGCAACACTTTCTTAATGTAAATTCCCAAAACTGCGGTCTGTACCACAAACATGCACAGCAATACCAAGTGAACAGAACAAGTCAGAGTGATGTCATAGGACGTCAAGGGGGTCAATTTTGACGTCAGAATGAGGTCACAAGGATGTCGAAATGCCCCCCATGATGTCAAATAACATCACTCACATTTTTTGATCACTTTGGATAGCCTCCTTCAACACGACTTTGGATGCATGCTTGTGATATAACCTTTACGGTACACAGCACACATAATAACATATTTTAACGTGAGTTAACTTCAGAACTGAATGTATTCATGAAAAAGAGTCAGTTTCATGGAAGGTAGGTTTACCTGGAATCGCAAGTTAAGCGTACCCAGCGCTACCTTCGACGTGGCCAACTTAACTTGCACCCCTTTCGTCTCGGCCACGACGACGAGGGGCCTTAATGTGACACCACTAGTCTCACTAGGCAGCTGCATGAACAACAGCCACGCAACCAACATAGCGTGTTTCCAGACTCCTATAACAGCCATTTTACAAGTACCGCTTATCCCCTGGAACAGATCGAAACGACACTATAGAGCACTAACAGGTCACCCAGAGCATTGTGCTTTACCAGCAAGAACTCAATACTGAGTCCACGCTTTATTAGCTAAGAAGCCTGGAGGTATCAAATATTGAAACTCAGAATCTCAATTAATCAATACACACAATAAATCAATAATTTGGAAGAGATAAAAAAATTATTCCAGCGAATTTAAGTTATTTGAAAAAGTGCATATAGATAGTGACAGGGTCATCATAAAAGACCCTGTGCAGCACGTCTAAGACGTCACTTGGGTGCAGTTTGTCCAAACCTGAGCCCAATTGAGGCACGGCTAATGCCTTGACATCATTATCAATCATGAACTGGCGTAAATTCAAGATGCTTTCCTTAAAGTCTTCTAGTCTCGGCAAATGAAAATACCGGAGCTTTGTTACCAGCTGAACTATGAATCGAGGCCCCCGCCTCAGAGCTACAGCATAGCCAACACCACGCTCTGCTGCCAGAAATTGATCTCGCAAATTAAATTCCTTTTGGAGCGTTTTAGCTAGCCCAGCTCCCATTTTCCCGTCTAAAGAAACACATTGTGCAATGCACATGTCGGCGGGGCAATTTAGAATACGTCGTCCGGTGATATTAAGGGGGCAGACCTGTGAAATACGAGGGTCGACAGGAGTTTGGAAGATATTTTATTTTAAAAAAACTACGAATCGCAGCGTTATAAACGAAAGACCCTTTTCATAAGAACTAATTGGGCTACAAGTAAGCGTATGCACAAACAGTGCACACCTCTGGGAACCCGGTCTTGGCCTCGAAGTGGACGGTTGCACCACGACGTGGCGTGCACGATTTTGACCGAACGAATGGACCTGCGACAATGACAAAAATGGTCATTTACTCTTAAGAGATGCGGCTATCGCGTGACGAGAGCGTTTTTCGACATTTCACTTCTAAGGTATCGAAAATGGGCAAAATGTGTTCAAATTTTGAACCAATTTTTTTTACCAAAACTTTGACATTTTTAAAAAAATATTAAAAATTAAAAATTTCAAAATCGCTCTCGTCATGCGATAGCCGCATCTAAGAGTAAATAACATTTTTTGTCGCTGTCGCAGGTCCATCTGTTCGGTCCAAATCGTGCACGCCACGTCGAGGTGCAACCGTCCACTTCGAGGCCAAGAAGACCGGGTTCCCGGAGGTGGGCACTATATGTGCATACGCCAAACTGTAGCCCAATTCATTCTTATGAAAAGGGTCTTTCGTTTATATTGCTGCGATTCGTAGTTTTTTAAAAATAAAATATCTCCCAAACCCTTGTATTTCACAGGTCTGCCCCCTTAATGATCTGCATTTTGTCGTGGCGAGCGTCTGCAATCATGCAAAGAAAACAACAAGTTAGACAACTCAACGGCGCATTATGGCACATCAACTCCAGATGAAGAAGGAAGAAAAGAATTTCATGAGTCAGAGATTTAGTTTCAATATTGTATCAGACAGTCCGTCACCAAATTTCCTAACCAGTACGAGATTATTTCTCGTCAATTTTCCTTTTTAGTTTTTTTTTTTTCTGTTTTTCTTAAGGACGTGGTACGCCTTACTGCCATAGTTTCGACTTTCGGCTGTTTCTTCAGTAATGCCAACGTGATGACTACATATTTTATCAACACAACATCTATTCTTTATAATTTTTCTTTCTTTCTACTTATTTTATAATCCTATTGGGTATCAGTAAAGAAATCAATATACCGGTATTTAATTCTAAAGGCTCAATACTATGATTTTTACAATCAATCAATAACGTAAGTGTTCGTGACATTATTCAAAGGTTGCCACTGGCTTGGCGCTATTTTGTATCATTCCCGTGTATTTCAAGCATCAAATTTCACCTGACCATGCTGAATTCACGGTGGCCATGCAATCGAGTCTGAATTCGTGCGGGGTATCAAACCCCGCACCACAAAACAGAATCCCCACTACATGGAGGCATGTGAACTGCTTGGGGCCTGGGGCGCTGGGCCGCGGGACCTCAATGGGGCTTTCTGGTCGCTCCTCTGTGAAAAGATAAGTGGAATAGCAATCAAGGATCAGGACGAGGCAAAGAAGAAGATGGTTATCATTTAGAAATGATATAGTAACTTACCCTTAACACGTGTCCCCGCGAGGGGAAAGGAAACCGGGGTAGATGAGAGAGGGGGTGTAAAAGGGGGATCTTCGTCCCCCTCTGACCATTGATCAATCACCTCCCAACCATCGGGAATGCTGCTGCCCGAAAAATCGGGCAGCTCCCCCTCGGAAACCTGTTCTTCTTTAACGTTCATGTTCTTGGGAAACTGGAAAGGATAGACTATTGATAGAAAGATTCTAACAGAAAAAGCTAGAACAGAAAATTCTACGGGACACAAAGCATTACTCACCAGTGCGGCCGTGGAGCCGGGAGCCGGGAGTCTGGCGCGTGTGTGCACACAGACACAGTCGCACACATATACACACGGAAGGAATCAAGGCAATGCAAGGCGATATTTAAGTAATCGATGATGATAATTGGATCTAAAAGACAATTCGTGCACAAGTACAAATCTACAAACATTAGTATTCTACACAAAGATGATTGCAATCATAGCACATATGGTTCTAATAATAAGGGTAATAATCAAAATTTCTTAATCAAACTTTCTGATTCTACATTACCAGTGAGGAAATTCAAATCAACAATACAATAATAGTAACAATTATAAGGCTAATTATACTACTAGAAGTCATCACTGGAGTCAGATTCGTCGGAGGTTAGCTGCTGCCGCTCCTTAATGAAAGTCTGAACAGTGTATTCAAACACCTGACCGGAGAAAGGGTCAGTAAACCTCCTTAACACCTGAACATCACTCCTCACCCACGGTTGCGGTGGGTGGGGGAGGTCCGGGACACAATGTGCCACTATGTCCGTTAAAAGGCTGATCCGAACCCTATAAAGGAACATGCTGAGGTTGCCTCGCAGCATGTTAGGGTTTTCATTGAAAAGTTGTACATGGTCGTCTAAAGTCCACGTGTTCAGTCCAAGCATTACATCGTTAAAATCAAGAGCTGTTTCTTCTTTCCACCTAAATACGTCATAATTTTCTGACCACAAGTCGATGGTTGAAAGCCCCCAGCGTACCCGGGGCTCGAGCAGGGCGTAACGAGGGTCATGTGCATTATCCATAAATTCGAGTCCATTCTCCGGCGAATATGCCTCAAATTCTGAAGCTAATCTCCGTAGGAGATAATGATGGGGAGCACTGTTCAGGTAAGCCGCGAATTCCTCCCACGGCATTGCAAGGATTTCCTCATGGGACTTCCAGATAAAAGGTTGTTCCGCCATTCTACACAATTAAGTTCACCACGTGTTAACAGTTGTCTTGCTCTAGCGGGACTGGGACGCCAGCGCCTGCAAGGTGCAACATGAGATGATATGTTTATGTCATCAAAATCTCAATGAGCTGGATAATTGGCAACATAGCGCCCCTGGTCGTCGAAAAATTTCTGTCCTGTATTAGTTTCCCCAAGGCAACCCTTCTCATTCAATAATTTTGTAAATTTTGTAAGTTACTGGGCAGTCATCTCATCAATACGTATAGGTCGGTCGATTCGTGATTACGAATTCGAGCCGGCCTCGCGCTGGACCAGTCACGGCCTCCCTGATTCTAATGCTGGAGCGGTGAGCTAGTCAATCGACATCCACTTTTCTGAGGAACTTTCTAGTTTTACTTATAACTTTTTATGAGGACAACAATTTCAACCCGTATACTTTACAGAATAATAATCATAAGCTATCTTTGCCGAAATCAACTAAAATATTACCATTCGTGCGCCCATACCGCGACTCACGCAGTCACCCCAGTAAACCCAAGCAGCCGTTGCTTTGCGGGCTCTGGACTTCTGTCCGTGTGTCGGATTCTGTGCGGACGATTAATTTTGAAATATGGGATATTTATTAATTTTATTCATCTCGCAACAGTTCTCAACTTCGAGAAACTGTACTGTATTCTTCTGAGGAATCAACAGGTCTTATTAAAGGTCAGTTAACCGCAGCTAATCTGCCCATCTTCGCATTTTTCATTCATTCTTATTTCAACTTGTTCAGACTTTTATCCAGGTAACCGCCTCGGAACAGTTCTTACGTATCGTAAGAATTGAAACTATTCCTAGACTCCCCGTCGAGCTCGAAGGTGTGTCATACACACCTGATCAATTCTATTTCTTTCTTTTCATTATTTTCTTTGCAATTCATTTTTCATTAATTCTCTTGTTATCAATTTTCCAATATAATTCCACTGTCTATCAATATTATCGGGGCCCCTTCCAAATGAAAATATATCCACCTGGTCAAAACATTTCAACTCTCCTTCTTACTCTACCTCGAACTACTAGGCCTTTATAGTTCCCTCCGAACTCTTCTTAAATCTACAGTTGAAAAGTTCTGATCATCCGATGTATTTTCATTTCATTGATAGTCTTTTACTTTTCTGTCTATATTCTCACTATGCCTGTGTTCCTATTCATTCTTTTCTTTCTTTCAGAAATCTAACAACTTGCGGGGATTGTGAGTCCTCCCACGAGAAACAAACTAATTTTACCTTTGTCCTCAAGTTCCTGTGGTCGACTGTAAGCTTTCTTTAAGTGCGAGACGTGGCAGTTTCTTCTCCATATCACACCATTCTTGTGGCGGAGTGTCACCAGGTAAATTAACTTTGATATGCCCTTCTTGATTGTTCCTTCTCTGTAAAATTTCTGAAATTTGCTGGGGTTTGCTGTACTGTGCTTTTTTAAATTTTTACAAAAACTTTTTCGCTATTACTAAATTTAATGCCTTTTCTACCCTTATTATAATATTTAGAGTGTCTTTTGAATGCCTTATCTCTAGCTTCCTTAACCTCTCTCCGGATAGTTTGCAGTGTCTTTAGTCTGCGTTGAATTGATGTTTTCTGTGGCAAAGTTGTCTTGATGGTCAGCGGCGTTTCCAAACTTTTTCCAAAAATTATCTCATTCGGACTCATTCCGTTTGTTGCTATTTGTGGGAGATTGTTCAGATAGAATTGAACAGATTGTACATAAGTATGCCAGTTTTGAAGTCTCCCAATACGCCCATCGACCAGAAATCTCAAAATTGACACTTATTTCTTAACATGTGATTCAACGCGACCAATGATAAGATGCGCTCCACAACACTGTAAATCTGGGGTGTCCAGCAACTGTGCGCTCTAAGTTGCACGACCCAGGTTTCTGTGCAACTTAGAGCGCACAGTTACTTTACAGCTTGTGTTTTTGCCACCCTACCCTGCAGACGGGCCCCGGCAAGGGGTGTCTAATCACAGGACACCGTACCGAGGCTGGGCCTAGACCCTTTGCAGGGAAAGGGTGGCAAAAACACAAGGTGTCCTGTAACTGTGCGCTCTAGGTTGCACAGAAACCTGGGTCGTGCAACTTAGAGCGCACAGTTGCTGGACACCCCAGATTTACAGTGTAGCAGTCGTGATGATAACGATACCGTTTCTTTTTGCATAGGCCAAGAACTCATGTGACTTTGACTGTGGCCCTGCGTCTATTGAAAGAAAACGGGCTCGACCAAAACGGCTGAAAAAGTCATTCAATCCATCTTCGAGCGCAATCCGATCTGCTTTCACACATGGATACAAGTAAGTTAGGTTAGAGAAGTTATCAGTTATCAATAAACAATACTTAAAGTGTGCCTTACTAGACATGTGGCAAAAATCGGCAGTCAAGCTATGGAAAATTTCATTAGTTATCCTACGGCGTAAGAAGCCATAACGCTCTTTACTTAGTTTGAATTCTCGACATTTAGTACAAGAATTTACAAACTGGCTAATCTTTTCATCTAGGTTCTTATAGTAATAGAACTTTCGTACTGCTAATGCCATCACGTCTCTACCACCGTAACCAATGATGGTATGAAAGTTCCTAAAAATAGCACTTAGTAGTACAGTGGGAAGCACTGTACGAGGAATCTTAGTATTAGTTACTAACAGCCCGTACAAAAATAGCGAGATCTAGGTTGTCTCCACGGGAGATAGCGTGGAGACTTTTTGGAGACGTTGTCAAGACAGTGAGTAGCCGAACTTAGACAACACGGAGACGACCTGGAGACGTGGCGTTTTGTCTCCAGTTGCGTCTCAGTCAGGTCTCGTTTACGATCCCGTTTAGAGACGACACAGAGCAATCGCGTGGAGACAATCTGGAGACATCGACATGCGACAGACGAAGAAAGGCAAAATCGAGAATCGTTGCCGCAGCGGGCTGGGATCGACCCACCAACCTTCCGCCTGCCGAGCGGAGCCGGTGACCACTGGGCCAGAGTGATGATCACTGAGGGGGAGCTGCGCTGGTTGGCACCTCTAGCGTATATTGTTTACCTAGAGTGGATTGAGACTTAACAACCCAATATTTTGAGCCATTTTCATCACATTCCTGAACATTATCAAAGAAAATATTGATACCTTTTATATGCCGTTCAGAAGGAGGCGCCTGGGTTTTGTGAACCCCTTCACGTGTGCGCATATCTTGTGTGTGTAGTTGCACAGGGCCGGCCTCTCCAGCCGCGGCACAAACCTAATATGTGACATCTTGATAAAATAACCACTAGCTTAGAGAGACTTCTTAGTTTTATGGCCTAAACCACTAGCTTACGTATTGAAAAAATTGCTCTCTAGGTGCAGCAGTTCCAATTGCTGTCTTTCTTCTTGCAAAGTAATCTCCTTCAATCCCCAAAAGAAGATTTACAAGAGTCTCAATTCTTTTGTTGGGTTTCCCCTTCAAATACAGTTTTTAAAATATTTAAACATTTGGTCCGCCAGCTGTATTTCTTTTACCTTTGAATGCAATTGGCCCTGAATGGTCCTTTTGTAGTGCCAATCACATAATATATGGGTAATTCTACCAAAATGGCACGGGTCGGTGTCCGCGAAAAAGTTTCTCGTTTATCTCAAATATATTGTTTGTCAAGCTTCGCCGAGGTGGTTTTCGCGCTTCAGATGATTGCTTGTGCTCTATTTTAACTATTTTAATCAACAACAGCTACGGAGCATTAGCATTTCATCAATAATTCGATAATTCGCTATAATCTCACGTTGTCCCCCTTCGTCACACCCTAACCTAATTTCAGCGTTTTCGTTAATACCAAATGATGCCAAGGGTATTTTACTGTTCAAGATGTTTACTTTCGTTTCATTTTCCCTATTTTAATCAACAACAGCTACACACTGTAAGTATTTCGTCCAAAAATGTCAAATATTGTCCCCTTTGTCACGCTGTCCTGGGCGTTCGGCGTGACAAAGGGGACTATTTGAGACATTTTTTGACCAAAATACTAATAGTGAGTGGCTGCTGTTGATTGAAATATTGAAAACGACATAAAAGTAAACATCTCGAACAGTGAAATACCCTTGGCATCATTTGGTATTGAAGAAAACACTAAAATTAGGTTAGGGTGTGACCAAGGGGACAAAAGTGAGATTATAGTTCATTATTGATGAAATACTAATGCTCCGTAGCTGTTGTTGATTAAAATAGTTAAAATAGAGCACAAGCAATTCAAGCAATCATCTGAAGCGCGAAAACCACCTCGGCGAAGCTTGACAAGCAATTTATTTGAGATAAACGAGAAACCTTTCCGCGGACACCGACCCGTGCCATTTTGGTAGAATTACCCATATGTCTAATTAGTTGACCAAACCCTAGGTTCATGGAATTAATTAAGGCTGGGTCATCATCGGTAATGACACAGTTGATGTATAAATCAGGCAATCTAAGATTCATTGCTGCAGTAAAATATTTAATTGTGTGCTCATCCATTTTGCTGCTAGTTGAATGTGCAAGAGGATATCCTCTGTTCAGTTCATCAACTCGTACAACATTTAACAGCTTGTGACCATACTGGTCCATATCATATCAACAATTAGAATAGTCTGACTTGCCATCTTCATCATGTCTGCTTGTTCCTCTGTCTGCAGACCCAGCATGAAAACGTCTTAAAGAATATTGTTGGCTGACTCTGGTCCATATACCAACTTTTGACCTTCAGGTTTGTAAATTAATACTGGATTAAAATCTTCTCCTCTTAATGACTGCACATTTATATATACTGCTTGTGCATCATCTGAATGTAGACTTTTTTCTGCAGCCATTTTTCTCTTCCGCTCTCGTAGTGCTTCAATTGTGATAAAGTCAGTTCTGGTCAGTTTTAACTCAGATGACTCTCTATTTACTCTTGAAAATTTGTCCCCCCTCGAGGTTTTTATAATTTTTCGTGGTGAAGCGCCAAGTGGTGGGAAAGCCAAGTGGTTGTTAATGTAAGAATTTATGTGGCTTCAGTGAGAGGTTGATGCTTCAGATCAGCCTCATACTGTGAATGAGTATGTGTGGGAAAATACTGTACCTCCACACCTGTCTCCATTTTCAAAACTTTTATCATTGATATGCAGTTGAACCCTGTCTTCATTCTTCCTTTCTTGTTACAGCTCTTCTTTCTCCGTTTTGATGTAAGACCTTCAAGTGGAATTCACCTCTCCAGAATTCTCTTCTTCCGACTCAACACCAGTTTGATTGTTTGAAGTTACCTTGGCACGTCTGGGACCATCTAGCTGGCAGTAATAATACTTGTGACCATCTTCTTCGCCATATTGTTGTGAAAAGTACCTGTACTGATGTTTCCCTTCTTCATCCTTCCAATTTTTGAAGAGTTCCCAGTTCTCAAATTTAAGTACTTGAACTGGTAATATTTTTGCATCATTGGAGTGTGAAGCCTGCAAAGAACAGAAATATTAATAAAATTAATATATTTACAATATTGTTTTCTTTGTCTATTGAAAAACTAAATGAAAAACTAAAAAACACTACATTTATTAAAAAGCTAAAAAACACTACATTTATTCCCCTAAAATCTAAAGTAAGTAAACACCCAACAATAACTAACACTACGCTAACACTTAACTAAAAAGCACTACACTATTCAAATTGGGACGCTACCTTCAAAAGTTCTTTATATTCAGCCCAGTTGTGAGGTTCGGGCCTTGGCGGGGTCGGGAGCAACCCAGTGCTCCCGGCCCTCCTCGCGGGCGCTGCTGTTCTCGGCGCCTGCCCCGCGGCACGATGGTGTTGGGGCGGCTGCCAGACGGCGCCCACTAGATCGTGCGGTGGTGCCCGCGCCCGCGGCGAAATCAGCTGCACCCGCCTCGCAGGGGCGGGGCGGGCGCACCGCTGGAGTTAGGGCGCGGGGGGGCGACGGGAGCGGCGGCGGCTGACCGAAGGGTGGAGGGGCCGCCGGCGGTTGACCGAAGGGTGGAGAGGCCGCACTGTGGGCTAGAATCCCCAAAAAGCGGACATGAATCATTACAGTTATTGGGTGCATCGCACATACGATGTTGGTATGTTCAGGGGTGTTTCCGGGTGCGCTGATTCCATTTTTTTTAATAATTTTGAACTTTTAGGAGGCGGATCCAGGTCCAAAAAGGGGGGGGGGGGGTCAAAATCTTACTCAAATCACGTGAAAGTTCGGTTACAGAGGTCTACGGTTGCGCTGATTTTTGCTGATTTTTACAAGTGTTTTTCGAATTTTTACGATTCTTTCTCCATTTTTACAACATTTTACGATCTTTAGCCCGTTCTTTTGCTTAAAAGCTATGTAAGCGGGCTTATGCCATCGCCTCTGTGTCTGTCTGTCTGTCTGTTCCCCAAGTAGGACGTGAGCTAGAGGTCTGAAATTTTCGGGGTATTATTGTTGTCACTTCTGGACAACGAAACGGTTGGTGCAAATCCTGGCAACCACCCCTGAGTGGGTCTGAGGGGGTAACAAAGAAATAGGGGTTGGTCAAAGAAGTGGAAAATAAATATTTTTAATGTCTCCTAAGGGGTAACTCGTAAAAATAGTGCTCTTTGGACTAAAATGTCGTCCGTTTGGCTCTATCTCTCACCGTTTAGGCGGTAGAGGGAGTTTTTCTGACAAAAGTGACCCCAAAACAATATATCAAGTTTAGAAAATATTTGATGGTTTTCTAGGGGGTAACTTGTGAAAATAGAGCCCTTTGGGCTAAAATTTCGTCGGTTTGGCTCTATATCTCACCGTTTAGGCGATAGAGGGAGTTTCTCTCACAAAAGTGGCCTAAAAATAGATACATCATTTTAACAAAATATTTGATGGTGGTCAAAGGGGTATGGTGAAAGATGAATCCTCTGGGATAAAATGTCGTCAGTCTGGCTCTTACTGTCAACTAACAAAAGGGAGTTTTTCTTACCAAAATGGCCAAAACAGAAATATTTTTTATTTTTTCAGAAGTACACTTCTGTCTGAGAAGTATGCGACCGGTTCAAAATTTTCTTTTAAGCAGAAGAGTGGGCTTATTTTATGGTGGCACATCATTAATAAAACGTGTACACTTTTATGCAAAAAATCCACAAAAAAAAAACAATTATTTTGTTGTTGTTTGAACACGTTCGGTGTCATTCAGAGTATGCCTGGAAGTATATTTAACTTCTAGGTCTAGTCTTATGTGCATTTTCATAGGTGTGTTATTGGATTCATAAGCTAACATCAATAACTTAAAATTTTGGCATAACTTGCATGTATTCTACAAACTGCGGCACACACAGCCAAAGATGTTCAGCGTAAAGAATTCTTCGTTTATTCACTGTTAAAAAAGTTGTGAAATTTCACATCAAAATCAGTTGTAAAATTGCAAACGTGGTTGGGAAATTTCATAACATTGTCAATTTTGCAATTAGTTATTAAAATTCATAACAGTTTTGTGAAAATTCAAATCTGTCTTCTGAGAATTAGGTAGCATTTGTAATTTTACAATTTGCGATTGTAAAATTGTGATCACTCTATCGGAAATGTGAGATTTGATTGTAATTTTCCGATTGCAGTTTGTAATTTTGCGAAGTAAAACCAAATGAAACAGGACCTGCACAAGTCCTCCATCAGGTTTTCTACAGTGTAACGAACCTCCACACCTATAAGCCCGTTGTGACTTTGGACTTTCATGCGACGAAACAGAAACTGTACTTTAAAGAACTTCCGCCAGATGGCGTTGTGGTCAGCGCCTCTCTTCCAAGAGCAATTATTAGTATTTAACTAAAATTTGCACAAGAAACTGACATGTATTTTTGTGCGGTATGATCTGTAACACAATGCTGTAGCTGGCTACGCATTTGTTTTTGAGCAAAAAGTCAACCAAGTGCCCCAAATAATTGGTCTAATTCCAGCGCGCGCCGGTCCCCGCTACCTCTCCTTAGTTAGGTACGGCGCCGTTGGCGTCCGTACAATAGGGGGCCTGTGAAGCGCTCCCGTATTTTTGTTGTGAGTATACCTTCAGAGGAAACTGTCACTTCTTCAGCCCAACGAGCTGATCCGTAGACCTACTCCATGATCATGGCAAATTATTTTAATCTTATAAACCTCGATGTTTTGACAATTCATATTAACTTTTTTAATTTTCAGATCGCAGATTGTGAAATTTCAAAACACGTTTGCAATTTTTTTTACAAGTGTTTTAGTTTGTAATTTTACAAACATTGAATTGCGTAAAAAGTTGCCAACAAAATTTGTAAAATTACAATCGGTTTTTTTAACAGTGTTAAAATTTAATTACGAAGTAGACAGAAAAGGTACCTGGCAAAGAGATGGTACAAAGCGAGCCGTCACTCAAACGGGCCGAAGGCCCGTTTTCGGATAGAAGATGTATTTACACCGTGAATATTCAGAAGGAACGGGCCGAAGGCCCGGCCAAAACGCCGCCGGCAGGCCAAACTGGGCCCGCTCTCTGCCGAACCGAGTTGCCGGTGGAGCGCAGCGGAGCTTGCAACTTGGTTTGGCGGAAGAGCGGGCCTAGCTTGTTTAAATAGGTTTTTGTTTTGATTGTTTTCTAATTTTTTAGGACTCCGTTTGCGATTGTCACAGTGATTGACCCCGTTGGCACAGTTATTGTCCCCTGCCATTTTTGTCGATAACAGTGGTATAAAGAAGCAGATTTCTTTGGTTACCACGTTGGGTGCCTATTCGGGCCACATGACTATAATCTACCTCCCGCTTCGCCCCCCCCCCCCCCCCGACAAAAAGGTGTTGTTCTGCTTCAACACATTCTAACAAGTAGTGTGATTTTCCTGAGCGTAACGTGCTCTTAACACTTCTACTGCTTTGCAAAATCTATGATATGCCAGCTATAGGCTGCTAGGGTGGCTCTACTCGCTCGGCGTCAGGTCCATTGCGGACATACCTGTGAGCCGAGGGTCAGAACGGTTTATTGCAGACAAAGTCTCTTTGACGAGCAGATTACCGGAACCCGAGGGTCCACGGGCCTGTCCGCAATCGACCGGGACGGGTCTGGGCGGGGCGAGTGAGCGGCGTCGAAGTTCCAGGCATTAGGCCCAACTAATTGTAGGTAATGTTTTGTCTTCGAACTCTGTATTCTTCTCGTGCCTTTTCATCGGAGCAGGCTAGTAAAATTTAAACTTAAAAACCAATGAAAAAAAATTACATGAAGTCAATAATGATGCAATTATCTTTGAAGCCAATTGGTTCAAAATTCGCTATCGCTCGAAAGTCAGGAGTTGAGCAAACCAGTATTTATTGAGTCTTAAGAACTCAAGGCACTTTGTAGCGCGGAAGCGGGTAGCGCGGGTGCACAGCTCAAGCGGAAAACGCGGTATAGGGAGACACAACTAGGAGCGAGCTTTTCTTATGGGAGCTCTTCTGAACTACTGCCTCCTCGGGAGACGGACAACTCGCCCCATCCAAGTCGCCCCATGGTACAAAACGCCCCAAGGCTAACTCGCCCCGATTTTGGGGCTGGGGCGAGTCGCAGACTTGTGCCATCTCGCCCCAGTCAAATATTTTTGTCTAAAATTTATTCCATTTGAATATTGCTAAGCATTGTCCCTCAGCGTCCCTCTCCTGCAAAGCCGAAGTCTTCTCTGGCCCAAATAGAAGTTCGAATCCACAGAATTGTGGACCTCACCCAGAAAATGGTCCCACTGAACTAACGGAGAATTCCATAGATCAATAGAAATTTAACAAATAGAAAATATGATACAATTTTTCCAAATTTCGATTTTTCATTACCTTATGGGATATTTTCCCTTGAACTAATAAAATTCCGTCGAGTTCAGCGAAAAATTTTATAATATTTTCTTTCCATTGAATTAACTGAACCTTTTTCTGTGTGAGCTACGTGGAGAACACAGAGGACGACGACGTAGGTAGGGCTGTGCGATATTCGGGAATACCGAAACGATATCGGTATTTTTTTTATACCGATGCTTCGGTATTTTACCTTTCTACTATTCGGGAACGATATTTCGATATTATCGAAATATCGAAGAATACCGAAAGTTTGGAAATTTCGGTATTTCGGTATCTCGATGTTTCATTATTTCCATAATACGAAAAATTTGGTACTCAGTGTGGGTGCGCGCGCCCCCTCAAACCTTTACTTTTACATGTCCGCCCCTCCCAGTCTCTCCTACCGTTCTTTTCCCGCTCTACAACGCGTTGCTGGCATGTCAGGCGGCAGACATGGCATCGCGCGCTGTTTTCAAACTGCCCAAATTGTTTCACTTCCTCGTTAGCTTATCTGTTGTCGAAATTTCGATACTTCGGTATTCCGGTATTTCGATATTTCGGTATTTTCGGAACGGTATCGATAACCGAAACCGACAAGTTTCGGTATTTTTTAAATATCGAAGTTCGGTACTGAAATTTCAATACCGCACAGCCCTAGACGTAGGTAGTCACGTACTTAAGAGACATTGGCCACAACTTGTCCGGATTCTTTTATTGTATAGAAGTTCACATTCCTTGTGAAAAACTGATTTCAACTGGGGCGATTTAGCGTTGGGGCAACATGGGTATGGGGCGAAATGGTCATGGGGCGACTTTATACCGGGGCAAGTTAGACTGGGGCGAGTTGTCCTAGATCCGCCTCCTCAGCTACCCCCGCAACACATGGGTCGGCTGGGTCCCGCCTATCCCTTTGCGTGGACCCTCGGAAGCAGGTAGCCGCAGCCACCACCGCAGCAACATCTCCTCAGAAAAGCTCGCTCCTGGCTGTGTCTCCCTGATTCTGAGAGCGGAGCGTCCTACTCGTAGCTCGTCCCAAAAGTGCCGGGCCGAGCGACGCGCGGCCCGCGCGTCGCTCAGTCGAGCCTCCCGCCAGAGCCCCGGTGGGTGGAGGGGGGTCGCTCGCTGCACCCAGCCAGCCCGGGAATCGAGACACTGGCCGGGCTATATTTGACAACATGCCCGACCTTTGCACGACGCGGCGAGATGGGGTCTGGGGAAGAGGCTACCCGGCGCTGATGAGAAGTTGCGTTCGACGGCTGGGTACGTTATTCCCCTCGCGGTGAAGTGATATCATCTATTCGCGCATCATGTGAATTAAAATGAATTATAAAACAAATTCAGTAGCCTTAGGCTTAGCTAATATTTAAAATTCTGATTGTGGTGCATCGGAAAACCTCGTGATGAATGCTCCAACCGTAAGTGCAAAGTCTTCATTGTTTTGAAAATTGCCGTTGTGGCTCCAGGGTAGTATCAGTGTTGGCGCATTGCGCAATTCTGCAAAACACTCTTAATGTGGTATTTTTTGTGCTTTTCGTCGCTGAAATAACAATAGTAGCCGCTGGCCTACTATTCCTTCGTGCTTGTTTGTTCTCGTCGAGCACAACGTGATAGTTTATTTCATACGCTCAGCTGTAGCCATGTTTTTCAATATTTTTAAATAAATTACCATGGTGAATAAGACTACTGAATAAGTCTACTGCTTATGATAGTGTTACACTCCTGTATTTTGTGTTTAGGGGTTAGTATTGGGGCAGACCATTGCTTCCTCAACAAATCGGCAACCACTGAAAACAATTACTCTCAATGCGTCTGCTAATCCACCTGCTCGCTTCATTTTGATTAAGAAGGTAACGTGTTATTAAACTATTACTGTTGAATTTGTTTTCTCTAGATAATATGCACTTAATCATTCTCTTACATTTCAGAAATCATCTCTTGCCTCCAATGTGAATGTCAAGAATGTGCAAGTAAAGACCACAGAAAGTAGTTCAATTCTTGGTAAGAATGCAAATAATTTCAATCTTCCAGCACCCTTTAAAAGGCAGGTCCTTCAAAAGATTACATTTAATCGATTGCCTGAGACAGAAACTTTAGAAGACAAGGTTAATCCTGTCATTTGTTGTACTACCGTCCAAACAAGATCTTTAAGTCTTATTTAAGAAAATTGTTCCCATTTCATTTTAGACACATGTTGCTGGTACCAACAGTAATTCCAACAGCATACCAAATTTGGTTAAACCCTTAAAAAGACATGCTACAATTTCTAGTGAGAATAGAAGTCATACTCTCATTCCTCCAGCACCCTTAAAAAGGCAGGCCCTTCACCAGATTACTTCAACTCAATGGACTGCTCCCACCCAGGTATTAGTCTATAGAAGTCTTGTCTTATCAGTGTCGTCTTTTCTGTCCAAGCACCTTAAAATGTCTTACAAAAATGTTCCCTTTTCATTTTAGACACCTGTTGCAGTCAACAGTAATAATTTTGAAGTTGCGATACCAAAGCCCTTGAAAAGGGATGCCACAATTTTAAGTGAGAATGGAAGTCATATTATCATTCCTCCAGCACCCTTGAAACGACAGGCCCTTCAGCAGATTTCATCAAATCAATTGACTGTTAAGCAGGTAAGATAGTAAACTTTAAATTCTGCATTTTCATTTTGTTTTAAATGTAATTACTCCAATTGTATTTCTAAAGCATCTGATATTATTTAGCTCAGAATGGCTGTGTTGAATGTGTGCCTAATCATATCTTGGTTTTATTATACAGCAAGCCCCTTCATTCAGCAATTTTTCAAATATTAATGATGGGAACACAGTCACTCTCTCATCACCTGTCAGAGTACGCATAAAGATTTTTAAATTTTATCTCGTGGTTATTAATTGCTCCTAGAATAATGATTTCCAAATAACTTTTCAGCTGTATACGTCTGCAGTTAAAAGTTTCCATGAGACTAAAAACATATCAGAAGCATCAGATTTTTCTCCTGTTACTAATGAAGTAAGTAAATTGTACAATGTCTTTGGTGCAATAATTATTTAAGTAAAGCAGCTGCTAACAATTGTTCAATTTCCATTGTAGAATTTACTGAAACCTGCTACAGTCCGGAAAACCAAACTCTCTCTGAGTAAGAAAAATAGCACCTCTCCGGCATTTACTCCAACTTCATCAACTACTTTCAATGAGGTGTGTGATGAAATGCTCATGTCTAAAACTTAATTTAGCTCCAAAAAGATAATGATTTGTTTATTTCTCCTTTTAGGATAAAATTCAACTACCTGTACATAAAAGTTTGGAGGTCTGTACTGTTAAGGATTATAAACATATTATTATTGCCATGGAAAATTGAGAAGGTTTAACTCTGAGCATTATTTGCCCTTGACAGGAAATCATTCAAGAGTTTCTGTCAGCCAACTTTGATCACAAAATAGAATCACTGGAACCTCTTAAACCCTACCACCAAAATCCTGAGTATGATCAGAGTGAAATGTTTTCAGCAACCATTCGAGTGAACATTCGCAGCAAACAGGAAGCTTTACAGTGGCTTGAGGATTTTACAGATGCTTCAATGTCAGACTGGAGGGTCAGGAAGTGCTTTCCTGAAAACACAAAATTTCTTATATTTAAGGTAAGCTCCCATGCTATCACATTAATCATTGATGACTCTTATTCAATAGTCAGCAGATGTTGAATTAAATTTAACACTTGATCGTGTGGTTATTGGTTTTGAAATATTGCAAGACTATACTGCTGACCATGCTGACAGAGAGAGAGAAAGAGAGAGAGAGAGAGAGAGAGAGAGAGAGAGAGAGAGAGAGAGAGCAGTTATACCAACAACCAAAAAACCCAACAATTTGAGTTGGTATAACTGTTCTGATGTACTTTTTATGTTGTGTTGTGTCTCCTGATTAGATTCTATTTCATTTATTTTTTCTTTCTAAATTGATATGTTTGTGATCAGTGCTTTTTAAGTTTCGTGGTTTTCCTTGTTCCTCAAACAGAAGGGATATCGCTGTAGCCACAATACCCAGGCGCAGTACAGAAAGGGAACTCAACCTCACAAGAAACATACTTTATGTGATGCATATTTATCAATAACTGTGAAAAACTTCAATATGAAAAGGTATTATGCGTCAAATTTTTTCAAATCTATATAGTCTTTATCTTTTTTTTAGTAGTGTATTTATTAAACTATTTGTTTAAGTAATTAACTGAATTTGCAAATTGTTGATTTAATTATTTTTTTTGCTTTTCTTTATAGGAGTTCTGACAAATTTTTGAAGACTCATCCATGTGTCATTGAACTCCAACACTGCCACAACCACCCTACAAAAGCATCTGACGTTTTGAGATTTCGTAGGCCAACTCAAAGGATAGTTGAGATTTTTCTAGACATGTACCGTAAAGATCACTCTCCATCATCAGCCCTTACAACTCATCAATATGATATCCAAATCAAGCATCCAGAGAACTGGTTTGAAATTTTGGCCGATGGTGCGGAATGCCCAAATCTTCAGTGGTGTTATCACCTCTATCGCAAAACATTCTTAAAAGAATATGGACCTGCTTCTGGTGAAGGAATGGTGCAGTCTTTGTCTGCTGCTGTTGAAAAGTACAACAAAGAATCAGGTTCAGTGTGTGCTGCTGTTAAAAAATATAACGAAATTGACTTGGTTGTTGTCCTTTGCTCTCCGCTCATGAAGCGAGTACACAAGCTCTTAAAATCGAGTGGTGAGATAAATTTCCTCGATTCAGGAGGGTCAATGGATCGGCACAATAGCCGCATCTTCACCATTTTAGCACCCAGTGTTGCAGGGGCATTGCCTCTTGGAATGGTGATCACTAGTTCTGAGTCAGAAGATGCTTTAACAGAAGGAATGAAAATGTTGCAATCAATTATGCCTTCTGATGCTTTTTTTGGTCGAGGCCCAAGAAGAGGCCCACAGATTATGATGACGGATGATTCTAAAAGTGAAAGGAACACCCTAAGGACATGCTTTCCTGGAATAGTACTGCTTCTATGTTTTTTTCACATCTTGCAAGCATTTTGGACCTATACTTGGGATTCCAAACACAATGTTAAAGCTGAAGAAAAAGAAGAAGTTTTTTTTATTTTTAAAGACTGGTGTTACTCTAAGACTGAGGAAGACTTCAAGAAGTTTTACCTTGAGATGCTCAACAATCCATTGTACTCCAAGAACAAATTTCTAGTCAAACAGGTAAAGGGATTGTTCCTGCGAGCAAGAGAGTGGGCTTTGTGCTACCGCAGTGAGCTTCTAATACGAGGAAATAATACCAACAATTATTCAGAAATTACGATAAGGCAATACAAAGATCTTGTGATGCACCGATTAAAGGCATACAGTGTGGTGCAGCTCTTTGATTTCTTCACTACTCGACTGGAGTCGTACTTTGAAAGGCGCATTGCAGCAGTGGTGAACAACCGTAAAGAAAATTATTATACTTCTAAGCATTACATTCAACCATCCAAATTAAAGCATCTGCAGTGTGCTGAAAGTTCACATCAGCATATGTATGTGGTTCAGAATGTGGAAAAGGGAACAAAATACACAGTAGACATGCAACTGGAAATTTGCTCGTGCCCTGTTGGCTTTAATGGAGCTCCATGTAAGCACCAATTTGCTGTGGCCAGGAGGTTTAATTTGTCTACATCTCAGTTTCTACCATATGAAGATGAAGCAGCCAAAGCCATACTTCATCAAATAATGACTACTGCTCCACCCAAACCTGGATGGTACGCTTCACTGAAGGGGGGACCTGTCACATCTGCCTCTGCAGCTGAACTTGGTGTGTATACCCTCAATTTTCTTATCTCTACAGTTTCTTTAAGTAGTCTTATTGAGTTGCTTTATGGCGGAACTATATCTTTCTAGGTGAACAAGGCCCAACTGCTTCCCTGGATAAAGACCTTTGTGAGGATGATATCACATGTAGACTTGAGGATTCCTCATCAGGTAATAGGAATCTCTTCTTTTTTAATTGTGGCAAAGGCTTTGTACTGTCATATATGGCACAATTTGTTTGCAATTGTTAAATCGTAGTTTTGACTGTTAATTTTCATGCTTCCTTTGACGTTGTAGTAACATCTGAATCAACAGAGCCTTATTCGGAAGAGGAAAAGGAACGGCTATTAGCCCTCTGGGAGTCAATAAATCTTTACATTTCAAATGGACTTAAGGAGAGACCTGAGGTCTTTGGGAGTGCTGTGGACAGATTTGCCTCCCAATTTAACAAGGCAAAGGCTTTGTCAGAAAATGTTGTTCTCTCTGCTTTGCACACTTTCCCCATCAACTCATTTGGATCAAAGGCCATGAGGAAAGGAAAATACATCAAAGTAAACACAGCGGCCTATATAAGGAGAAAGTATGCTGCAATGTCGGGACGCAAGTGCACTCAACAAGGTCGGCCACCAAAAGCTGCATTTACAAAGGAACATGGCTACTCTAGAAGTAGACAAATTGTTCCTTCTTGGAGCAGGTGCCAACAGAGGAAAGGAGCTGTCCCCCATAAGCTATCTGTGCGTGTTCAACATCAGGCAGCCAAAAGCCAAAGCATGAGCCAAAGCCAAAAGAAGATGTTCTCTCTTGAAAGTAATTGCAAGATGTTTGTTTTTATTAAGTTTATTATGAAAGTTTTATTTATAAACTTTACTTATTGTACTCTTTGGCTACTTTTGTTGTATCAAACATACTTTTAATTGATATTTCATGTTTTGCCTGTATTTTAGTGTGTATGTTTAACCCAATGTTTTTTTATTTCTTAACATTCAAAATATTGATTTGATTATTTATTTTGATGCAGACATATGTTTACTATCACAGGATTCTATGTTATCTGAGAAGAAAAAATTAATGTTTTGTGTATAAAAAGCCTTTTATTTTTTCTCATCCTTACATATGCATTTACCATCACTTTCTATTAATTTTCGGCTTCTTTCGTTGAAAGTCATCAGATAAGTCTGAGGATAAGTCATCTGTATTGGTTTGCTGAGGAAAAGCCATTGAGGATTTTTTTTCCATTTTCCCTGTGGTTTGTGAATTTATTAATTATATTCGCACCAAACCGATTGGTGCGAATATCCACTTTGAACTTTAAACTACTGGGGCTGCTAATCAAATCCTGAAAGGAAAAGGGAAGATAATTATAATGAAATATACAACACACGATGAAGAGCAAAAAAATATGCTTACTGTTTCTGTTTCCACATCTTTATAGCCGTTCCACTTACAAACCCAGGACTTCAATTGGTCATCTGAAAAGACATTACTTCCCAAAATTTAATGTAATTTCACGAATAAAAATTTAAGAGACAAATAAAGATCTCACCTATTTGCTTTGATTTGAAACCAACGCAACTTCCATGGAACCAGACTGAACATTTTTCGCATTCTATCCAGAAGTTGCTCAATAAATCCAAAGGGAGAATGTCTTTTAAAAAAATTGAAATTAAAATGTCACTTCACTTATTGTTACAAAGTAAGAAACAGTTACCTGCTATTCTTCGCTTTGGAGCTTGCACACAGGACACTTGGCTGTCGCGCGCGAAACGAGATCGAGCTACCTGTACTTCATATTTCTCATGGGTGCCGGTTAGCCTCTTCCCCAGACCCCATCTCGCCGCGTCGTGCAAAGGTCGGGCATGTTGTCAAATATAGCACTGGCCGGCCACCTACTGCTGCTGGCCCGCCCTGTGCATCTCACTCGCCTGTCGCCTGCCGCTCATTCTCGGCTGATAGCGCCTGCAGCGCCACCCAGCGAGCGCTGGCTGGGTGCAGCGGCGGTGAGCGGACTATTACAGCTTCATGCCAGGCCAGCGCCATTGTGTCGCGCGCACGATTCGAACCGGCGAGTCGCCGCCGGGCGCCGCTCGGATCGTTTCCCTCGCATTATGGGGGTGATGCAATAAAATGGTATGGACGGTCGAAGTGCGATTCGAAAGCTATTTTTAGCTACACCCCGGTGCAAACCCCGACCGAAAAAATTGAACGGTAACTCGTGCTAGAGCGAAGTACCCAGATTCAAAGTACTTACGCCCTATGTTCTGAACGGGGTGGGCGCGCTGTCGCAACCACGTCCGATGTGAAGAACACACCCTAGGTAGGTAGGTAGTCTCCACCGAAACGGGCGCGGTCGTCGGTGCCTCCGTTTTGCCGCAGCGCGGCTTGAAACACGACACTCGTGGTGCCCACCAAAAGCGATAAGAAGCTTTGACCGCGAGGCGCGTACGGTGCCACGAGTCGTAATTCCCTCGGACAACGACTACTAGCCTCAGGATTGACTAAATTTTCATTTTAAATGCGTTCCGACATGATCGAACTCCTGGCCCTCCAAAATGAAACGGCCTAGTGGTCGTCCGCCCAGGGATGACCCCCAAAAAATCAGAACTATTTTACTATCTAATAAGGAGAGGATCGTAAAGGATGGGAAAGTGGTGCCATTAAAAAATCCAGTTGGGGGAAAATTAAAGAGGAAAATGAAATTTAAACGACTGCGGCAGCTCTACGTGTTTTTGTCGTGTGTAACAGAGGACCTAATGGAGGAATAAAATACGAAATGGGATTGAAGCAGAAGTTGACTGCAATAGTAGAATCTGAATCTGAAGACTCTGATGTTAACAGTCCGGGTATTTTAGATGGCTCATTGGGTTCTGCACCTACCGTGTAGGGTTGCAGGTATTTTCTAAACTTCCTTGGAAGTGTGTTTTGGACATTTTCTCAATGGGCTTGCATTTCGGGCCTCGCGGCCCGTCATGCTTCTCCGGGCTGCACAAACATGCTACAGGACGCCTGCCCCACGAGGGACCAAGGACAAGGAATAGGTCATTGACAGCCTCTCCCCCAATTTGCCTCACTGGTTTTTATTACGTCCGGACCCCAGCCTCCCCGGGCTGCATGAGCGCAGCCCCGTCAGGGATGGCACGGCGGCCGGAGCGTGTGGGAGTGAGAGCGCTGCTTTGTCTATCCTCTTCTTGGAAACTCAATGGGCAGGCCGAGTCTCCAAAAGTCTCCACATGTGCTGGGCCGACTAACAGGCGTGCAGCCCCGGAGTCGCGGGCCATGTCCAGACCTGCTCACCCCCCCCCCCCTTTTCTCCATTTGAGGTCCACCCTGGCGATGACATTGAACACCGTTCGATCAGCCGGGGGCCGCACCCGCCAACCTTGCCACCCTAGCTTAAGTATTTAGGATAAGTAATCAAGACACCAGGAAGATGATCCCCGGTGGCTTGCCCCCATCCGCCGCCCGCACCGCCCCCCAGTCCGTCGCGCGGTGGACATCGGCGGCCCCACCAGGATGGCGATCACGGCATGGCCTAGGCGCGCACCACCAGCTGCTGCGCCACGCCGCGCCCAGCTGAGGCCGCGCGGGCCGCCTGCCTGTCCTCCAGGAGCCGACCACCCTGACGGAGCTGGCAGCCGCCCGCCGAGTCCCGGACGCGGCCGAGCGGCCGAGCAGGACGACGGACGGGGCCCCCGCACGGATGCAGCGCGCCCCGCCGAAATCTGCTGCTTCCCCGCCACCCCCGCGCCCCCTCGCCTAGGCGCGCGCGGGCGACGGGGTGACTTCGGCAGGTTCGGCAGCCCTCCAGCGGACCAGAGGGAAGACCCCGGACGTTCGGCTGAACTTCGGGGGCCACGAAGGGGACGGCGGCGGCGGCGGCCAGCGAGGGCAGGATCCTGGAGCTTGGAGGAGGGCGCGAGCGAGCGTCAGCAACAACAGTTCGGTTTGAGACGTGAAGTGGGCCGGTACGTGACGTCACCGGCAACCCGCGCGGGCCCGCTGACCTCGCGACCCCTGCGCACCCCAATCGGCTCCGTCCCGCCCCAACGTTACCGGGGCACCAAGGATTAAGGAATACAGTGATAAAGTGATACAGTGATAGTGTGTGTGCGTGTGTGTTAAGTCCTAAAGAAGGGACAAGTGTCGAGTGTTGTGAGTGCGTCTCTGTGAGCATCAGTCCTGTGACGCCGTGACCCCACCTGTACCTCTGAGTGCCTAGACCATACCTGCATTTCTCGCTGTACCTGCTGTTCCTGCCTTAAGTGGATTAGATTATCTTGTTTGTAAATAGTCATTGCCTTGCGTTATCATTACCCTTTTCCTCAAGATCACACCAAGGTCCAGCTTTCGAACACTCTTTCAATTTAATGTGATGAGAAACCACGGCCGTACTTTCCGACACCTCACACTTGGCGCCCGGTAAGGGGCCTACGTTTTGGGAAGGACTAGCCGGAACCTCACAACCGTAACGAAACTCCATATTCCCTAAGAGAAGCAAAAGTTATTCCACTTGAGTGAAACAGAAGCAATAGGGGTCTTGAAATACAGTGAAACATTTAAAAACGCAATTTTTTGCGTAGGTCATGATCCCTTTTTTGTCCATAACTGCTTACTGGTGCAGATGAGACTCTCCAATAATTATGCAGAGACTGCTTTGTATACCAGAGTCATCATTGACACATCTGGTAAAATTGTACAAAACATTAAGCGACCCTCAGGAGGTACGTCAGCGAACATTTTCCTATACAGCATAGTCATTAGCCTGCCCGGTGAATTTGAAGGGCGTGTTCTAGCTTGGCAGATGCTGTCTGAACGGCACAACACACACACACGACATATACTTTTGGCTAAAAGAATGGATAAGACATGAAGCCAAAGAGCCCAAAGAAATTGTTATTCATTTTAGTGCTACCCTGCTGTCTGCTATGTCTTCTTTGTATTGATTGGGGATCGGGGGATGTATTTTAGTTCCGAAGAACATGAGCAGGCATGAGATGGCTGGTTCCGGCTTTTGCGGATTGTCCCACATCGTTGGGCGTTCTGGTTCCTCGTCTGATTCTTCGCGCCACTCTGGGCTTGGTGGCGGAGAGGGGGTGGCCTGGCGTTCTGCGGGGTCGGCGTCCACTCTGCGCAGGATGATAAGTGCCCTCTTAGGGCACAGAGTGGCTGCCTTGTTAGCCAGTCGATGTGCTGCCGCGTGGCGTTGGAGATGGGCGGCGAGGTTGTAGGTTGTCTTGACGATTGAAGGTACACAGGCACTCTGTGCACCTCCATCCTGCTTGATGAGTTTGCTCATGTCTTCGGAGCTCCCATGCTTGGCAATAAGATTTGCCGCACGTCCCGCATGCGTGGGGTCGTCTTTCCAGGTGGAAGTTCGCTTGATGTCGCCGCAGGTTGCGGCGAGTTGCGAACTCCCGCTTGCAGTGGGCGAAGGCGCAGGTATGCATGTTGAGGAATGAGTTGAGGAACGGGCTCCACAGGGCGTGCGTCTCACGCGTTTACAAATGCAAATGGACACAAATATGAGGAGCTGGGCGCCGGAGGGTGGATGTGCTTGAGTTATGAGTGCTCAGCGAGAGCCAATTAAAAACTCATGCAAAATATTGAATATTGACAAAAAAAAAATGGAAAAAAAAATGTGCAGGTACATCGGGGAGACGCTGCTCTATCAGACTATCAATAGTTCGGATAAGAAATTTAAGACATTTAATAGATGTTTGACCCGTAAAAGAAAACTATCAGTTACCCGAACGATGCGCCACCTAGTGGCAAATAGTGGAAGTGCGCTTGACCGCGACAGTATCGGTGCAGGGTAATCGTTGTTGCGAAAATAACTACGCTTTTCCGCTTGCGATAATATTAATCTTACGTATTGATTTTTGTTGGCTGAGCGATTAGCGAAGCCTATTACTCCGTCTGGTCAGAAAAAACTTTTTCTGTCTGTCTGTCTGTCTGTGTGTCTGTGTGTGTCTGTCCGCACGGTAACTCGAGAACGAATGGAGCTA